CCATAGCAAACTAAATATGTATTAGCTGAATTTTCTAATTTCCTGATACAAAATGTACTGAAAATTTAATACAGAAAGTGATATAAATTTGTAACATTTAAAAATTTATTCCAATTATCATTCATAAAATGAAATTCAATTGTATACACTTACAAAAATATTTTTGAAATTTCAAAATTTAATCGATTTAATTTATAAAAATATTTTTGTAATTTTAAAATTTAATCAATTTAAACAAAACATTTTTTGAATTGAACTGACTTTTGGTGGTCCTTGGTGTTAACCCAGTGTTTTGCACTGCTAAAACTTACAAATGAATTATGAATTCTATAAAAGGTTTCAAAAGATGAATAAAATAAAAATGGCACCGTGTCTAAAAATACTAGACATAAAAATATCAAAGAAATTCATTTAAGTTATTTGCCAACAAAACACAATATAACAATAATAAAAACCTACACCAAATTTCCTTCAACCATAATAATACATAACCAACAAAATAAAAATTTTAGAAACAAAACATATACGATAGTTCAATAAACCAGGACACAGAAGCAAAAATGCAACAACTACCCTTACACAAGCATGTTAAAAGAGAAATCTTCAAACAATAATGCCACTAAGTTATGTTATATAATGGAACTAATAATGGTTCCCTTTCTTACACACAATCCTGAAATTTGATCATAATGCAATTGCATCAGTAAAATCTACCAGGCAGGTAATTTTGAGTTTTCCTTTTTGTTATACATAAAATAAAATTACTTTTTGTATCTGTTATACATGCAAATAAAAAGAAGAAAAAAATTACAATATGTTGGAACATACATTTGAAAAAAAGATGACAACATCAAATTCACTCAGATTTAAGCTGTTTTTCAAAAGCTCTTTCCTCGCATGAAATAATATATGTGTTTGTGTTTACCATATGTACTTGTGCATTTGAAAATTGTGTTAATGAAAAAAGTATTAATTATGAAATAGTGCTAAATTTAAATGTAAAAAAAATTTAACAGATTTTTTTTACAGTAAAAAGTATTTATTATCTTATTTTTTTAATACTTAAAAATATTATACCACAAAGTTAGGATTTTTCAAATTTTAAAAATTATTAATTTATTTTCATAGAGATGAAAAAATTTAGATAAATTATTAAAAAAAATTCCTATTTTTTTAAAACATATTTATTAATTTTTAAGTTTTATATAGTATGCAAAATATGTTCAAACATTAATTCATGTTTAAGGCTCTTAAACTAAGAATTTTCATTTTCCTTAGAAGAAGAGAGCTTTGAAAAAAAGGCAAAAACTTTTTTACAAAATAAACTAAAGAATACAAAGAGCAATACATTTGGAGGTAGAAAGGAAAGCACTTAATTTTCAAAGAGTTTTTTTCCTTCGCGGAAGAGCACTTTGAAAAGTAGACAAAAAAATTTTAACAAAATAAACTAAACAATACAAAGAACAGAACATTTAGAGCTAGGGGGAAAAAAAGAAAAATATGAAAGCACAAATCACATTTAAGCTGCCTGATCACTAGTTTTACAAGAATAACTATTATTATTTATTGTTTTTTACATGACATTTTGAAATATATATTTAAAATTTAAATAAGAGAAAAATAAATATAAGAAGAAAGGATACTTCCATGTTATAGGGTTCCCATAAAAATTATGCCAAATATTAAGATGCCAAATATTAAAAGAAACACAATGTATCAAGCTAGTCAAGAAGTTCTTTAAAAGAAATGTAATCATAAATTAGGTAATAATTATTTATATTTATAAATAGACAAAAGTCAGCTTAAATCTGACTATGTTTAATTCAAAATTACGTACATTACAACAAAAAATAGGAAATAAAAACAACAACAAATAGAAGCAATAGAAACAAACAACATTATAAATGCAGTTTAAGTAGATTAACCTCTGCTATTGTATTGGCACTGAGTCTAAGCGCTGGCCTTACCAAATCTGGCACTGAACTTCTTACAGGTTCCCATTATAACGCAGAACTACCTAAGAAAAAACTATGTAACATTTAGATATGAAGTCATGTTTAAAAAAAAAAGAGTTTAACAAGACTAACCATGTCATAAAGACTGTCAAAAATTAAACTTATAAATGGGTTTAATCAATTCATAGCAGAAAACATATTTTGATAACCTTCAACTCATTACTTCACGAAATTAAACGTGTAGTTTAATTTTGCAATTTTTATCAAACTACATGTTCTGATACATTTTAAATGATCAGAAAGCTAACTCTTGATTTTAAAAAAGGATTTGAACAATGATTCCAAACCTCAGAAAATTTAAATTAAAAATACTTTTAAAACATATTGTCAACATCATTAAGATTTTTATAAAAATAATATATAAATAAATAATACAGTGCCAGCAGATTTATATTGGTAAATTTAAAACTAAACTTTAGTCATGTGTATAAAAATAAAATTCATTTTCTTCTTTATTGGTAGTTAAAGGACAAAATTAGAATAATTCTAATTATCAAATTACATAGTTTTTTTTATTTTAATGCAGGTGTTTGATTAGTCCTAATTTAAAGCTCAAGTCTAACTCTTTCCTTGCTTTAAAATTAATTTCTTTTGTCTATATACAGTATAATTATAAATATGCATATCAATAGATTGACAAAAAGCTACAGAATTCACATTTTTAATAGGAACCTACATTTAATAAAAAAAGAACCCAGTAATTCAGATGCTCTGGGTCCTAAAGATCTACACTTTTGAAAGTCAATTAGAAATTACTGATTTAGCAAGTCAACAACAATAAAATTGCATTTTCAAAAAGGATAGTATAAAATACATTTGCTTAATATTATAAATATTTACTTAATGATTAAAAGATATTGATATTTCAAAATAACTATAAACAAAATAACTTACCTTATTTTAATTAAAAATCATTAAAGTAACAATTAAGAATAGGGTAAACCTTTTATTCCCCTTCTTATAGTCATTGTGAAAGATCAATATATTTTAATCATCACAATTACAACATTTTAAAAAGTATTCTCTTGATACATTATGACAATAATTTTTGTTGATAAGTGATTAATTATCTACAACTATAATCTTAAAATCCTTATCAACAAGGATAAATACAGAATAAGAGGGATAAATATACAATTACGATATTTAAAAAAGTATTCTCGTGATACATAATGACAATAATCTCTGCTGATAAATGATAATTATCTACAATCATAATCTTTCAATTATTATCAACAAGGATAAATACAGAATAAGGATACTAAAGAATATGTTTATCTTTGTGAGTAATATCAATACGTTGATATTGAGTCAACAGTAATATCAATAACATTAACTATTGAATGCCATATTTTCTTATGTTTCAAAACATTTCATTGAAGAACTGGAAATGTAAAAATCAGGCAAATTATTAAAACAGAAAAATATATAGGGATACGTCATGATTGAGTATTTAGTAAAAGTGGGCCCAGAAATTAAGAAGACCTGGGTTCTAAAGACCCACGGGGAAATCTTGACGTTGCATTGCAATATTAGAAATCAGATAATGCCTCACAAGCCCTATTTTTATATCACACTTGTAGAAACTAAAAAAATATACTGGCAAAATTATAAGTTCACATTTAAAGAATAACAGCATCGTTAAAAATAATCACAGTAATGCTCAGTTAAAACCATCACTAAAAAGTAAAATGCGCAAAAAAAAAAGTTTCTATTTGCTGAGCACAAAGAAACATAACTATTTCGTCTTATTTTATTTCATCTTTATGTTGTCTTTTTTAACGGAGATAGACATTTTTTGACAACTCTTCAGCTAACTGAAAAGTTACAAAAAATCAGTTACTATATGAACTAATGATTACAATTACATAGGACAGAACAAGAATAATTATGACACTAAATAACACATTAAAGAAATAAGAAAGATAAGTGTACCACATTATGTTATATCTAATGTTGCTTTCTGAACTTAGATGCGAAACATTTTATTTCTGTGGAACACCACAAAAAAAATATTAAGCATTCAAAAACATCAAGTAAATGTATTAAATATGAAATCCAAATTTAGCAAATGTAATGACTAAAAATAAATAAAATTTGAATATGGTGTTTCATGTAAAACAATATAATCTAGCTATCTTATTTCTTATAACTGTTATTGTCTGTAATATTTGTCAGATAATCGATATACGTTTAAGTGGATAAAGGAGGCAGGAAAATCCTTTTCAAAAAGCTTGTTTCAATATGAAAAATTTAGTTATTGTCGTGTATTTAAGTATTAATTACAAGAGCTCGAGACTAGAAAGATTGCTGTATTGGCATTTGGCCCATTTTTGTTCAGAAATCAGGAAAAGAAGAAGAAAAAAACATTACAGAAGAAGACTAAATTGAAGAGTATAACTTTTAGCTGTCAGTTGCAAATTTCTAAAGTTTTTTTTTACATCTTTGCAAATTTAAAATTGCATTTGGCTTCTTGACAATTATAGTTGGTGCAAACAGGTACCAATGCAGAAATATCTCCATTTGGGATATAGTGAAATAAGTTTTAATAAACTTTCGATTAAGGAAGTTGAAAAATATTTGATTAAAGTACCAGTGGACAATCTTTTTGAGTGAAGGGCCATTAGCACAGCAGGTTAAGTAATGAAGGGCCTTATGCATATTTAGACATGTTGATAGTGTAATTATGGTAATTTTTATCCAAACACAACTGTTCTAAATCTGAAAACTTAAATCTTTTTTATCAGTCAACTTAGTAATATGTTTGTAGAAAGGTAAATACTTTTAAATATTAAAATTCATTCAAGACTAATAAAACTGACAATTTTTTTTGTAAAAATATTCCCTTTTTATGAAAAAAAGAAAACAGATTTATCGAAATAAATATAAATATAGGGAAAAAGTAATGTTTTTTTTATGACTTACAAAAGTTTATTTTAAAATAAATTCTAACAATAAAAAAAAAAACTACAATGCTCACTGAATGAAAGACAAAAAAATTAAATATTTTAACGAGTTAAATTTAAATTAAAAAACTACCGAAACATTTTGTAAAATAAAAGAGTTAATTAAAAAAAAGTCCAGGCTATTTGAATTTAAAAAAAACTTCTTAGTCTGAGTTTTTCAAGTTTAGCCAACTTCCTTTATCCACTTCTTCAATTCTCATGTATCCAGTACATACAAGAACAAAAAACAGGAGGATTATAAATTATTACACTTTTTAAAATGTTTACAACAATAAGTAATATAGCCTGATCGGAGACTTCTTTTTAAAGATGTTGACTCAACAGGCAATGGCTGATATGCAATAGCCAAATTAATTAAATCATATTTAGAAAGATATTTCATTATATGAGCCACAACAAGGGAACATAACGCAACAATCTTCCCATTGCATAATTCAAAATCAGTACGAGGTGTATAAATTAACATATGAAGCAACCTCCATTCTAAATCATCACGTTTAATAGCAGCATACATGACATCTTGACAATGTGGATATTTACCACTGTTTAAGCGCAATAAATATTCATCGATGATAAAGAAATTCGTTTGTCGGGGTGCACTACCTGTTGAGCAACGTTCAGCCACAAATTTGAAAACAGATAATTGTTTATTTAGTTTATCTTTTGTCATTTTAGAAACTTCTGATATGCATTCATTGCGATAATTGTACCAATCTTCAATATAAATGTCATCATAAGGGTTTGCATTTAAAGCTATTTCGTCTTTCACTCTCGTTTCAACGTTTTTAATTTCGTCTTTCGACAAGGCAGCAACAAAAGATTTTATCACCCTGTACTGCACAAGCAATTTCTCTGCAGAGCAATCTCCAAAATGAAATGGCACTAAATGACATGAAATATTACCAGCGTCAGGATCAGCACCATTTTCTAAAAGTAATTGAATTATTTCAAATTGCTTTTCATTATTGAGACAAACTAAACCACTCGATGTTTTAATGTGCGTGAGATCTCGGATTGCCTTCAGTTTATTCTCTCCTGCCGAAGTACATGTTTGTCCGGAAGGGTTAAAATTCTGCCTCTCTGGGATCTTTAGATAGTTATATCTGAAGTTGTCACCAAGTTCAAGAACTTTTACTGCTTCACCTAAAATACACCTATTTTGTTTATCAAAGACATTGACTTTAGCACCCAATGCAATGAACTTCTTAGCTATTACATACATTCGATTATTTATAGCGTAGAATATGGGAGTGCGACCTTCTCTGTCTTTAGCATTGATATCAGCTCCCCTGTCAATAAAAGACTGAATTACCTCTAATTCAGATTCATTAAAATCGTGTCTCATCCAGTGCAATGGAGTTTTCATTTCCGCATCGGTAGCATTTACATCTGCGTTTGAGTCTAAGAGTAACTTGAGAATCGGGAGTTTATTTTCGCGTTTTTTTCGCATAACAAGATGGAGTGGAGTCCTTCTATTTACATCACAGCTATTTATAAGAGACGGCTGCTTTTCTAAACATTTTTGAATCAAGTAAAGATTGATTTCATCGCTTTCAAAAGCTGTGAGTAAAATATTCCTATGTTTGTAGTAGTTGGGAATTCGAATGTCAGCACCATTTTCCAAAAGTGTTTTTATAATTCCGTTTTTATCTGGTTTCCTCGCCGCAATATGTAACGGAGTGTCTCTTCTCTGATTCTGCTTGTTTGGATTGCCTCCATACTTAAGCAGTATTTCCATCACTTTTGATGGTCGATTGTAACGGGCGCAAACATGAAGTGGAGTATCGCCTACTTTACTCTGTCTGTTAGGATCAGCACCATGAGTCAATAATTGCTCAACAACGTCAACATCAACATTATCTTTACTAACGGCAAAATGCAAACAATTTTCGTGTAACCAGTTTTCTACAGGTATCAATTCTTGAACAGATGGCGAACTTAAAATAGACTTTATTTTTTGTATTTTGTTCTCTCGAAACCTGAACACGTAGTCAGAATCGAGTTTAGGTTGCAGTGCAAGTTTCTTGATTTGATCGTTCAATTCACAAATAACACATATCATTTCGAGAATGGGTGAAAGAATAGGAGGATAAGGATACACACATATTTCGGGTAGAATTTTTTTATAGATTTCGGAATACGCATGATCGAATGTCTTGCAGTCATCCATTTTAATTTATATAATTAATAAACTCATTAGACCGATCTAACTATCTTGAACAAAGACAACTGACAAACAAAAACCAATAAAGTCAACAAACAACCTTCACCCTTGCATAATCTTGTTTTCATTTCGAAATCCTTAGTGATTGGTGGTTACAGCATTGCCAATTTTATAAATAAAAAAGCTAAGAAGTTAGAGAAAGCTGAAATACTTTTGTGTAAATTTGAAGCGAGAAAGAAGCAGAATTAAAGCGCCGGATGCTTTGCGCATTTTTCCTAAACAATAAATTGAGTTTGTGTTTTACGAACATAAACATATTCGAATGAGAATAACGAAATCTATTTATAATTACATATTTTTTGGAAATTTTAGCAATTTTGTGTTGCTTCTTGATTGTTGAACATCTTATTTTCGTGGTGAATGGTTATACTTGCTTTGTTTTTCTTTAATTATAATTTTCAGTTATAGAGATTGTTCATATACTGGGATAAGTAATAATAATGTTTTTATCATTCTTTCTTTCATTTTTGTGTAATAGTAACATTTTACAAACTTTCACATTAAATTATTAAAAATATAATGCAATCTATTTAACAAACATGTGTAGTTACCTCCATGGATTACTTATCTGTTTAGTTGGACCAAATAAACTAAACAAATGGGGAATTATAAAAAAAAAAAAAAAAAATTCAAACATCGCTGGTGTCAATGATAATCTAATTAGTCTCTCCTTCCCCGAAACCTTGAGAACAGTATGTTCAGAAACATAAACATTACCTTGAAAATCGTATTTACAAAATATGTATTATAATAGAATAGTTTATTTCCTTCTAATTTTTTGTTCAAATTTTTTTTTATTGTTTTATTTTTTTCAGAAAAATACCTTCAAATGCAATTCCAAAAATGTTCGTAACCCATCAACTTCTTAAATTATACTTTTAAAGGAATCATCAACTAAAGAATTTATTAAATGTCAATTTAAATGTGCCTTAGTATTTGTAAAAACTGTAGTGTTAGAAGAATTAACTAATCATACTTTGAACAAAAAGATGTCCCTAAAAATTTTTTATATAATTTAAATACAGTATTTTTAAATGCTTCAGGGAACATAAAATTTTTACTTTAGTTCATTCAATGAAATAAAAAGTGTTGTAAAAATAGCATCATTGTATAAATTATGACAATTAATCTTTGTAGATTTCCATAATATAAGTTCCTGCATCTAAATGGTTGCCAAGTGTTGGCGACAACCAGGCAATGGCTGGGAGATAACTAACCAAATAAAAAGAGTTCTCCTAAGAAATAAAAATAGGCAAGGGGCTGTCTCATGTAAGAAGCACTTTGAGTTTTTGAGGGCCATTTTCCACATTTAAAATTTATCAAAATGCATAATATTATGTATTAAATTAATTTGAACCCCAACAATTGTTTGAACATTTAAATTGTTCTCATATTCTATTTTATTTTTGTATTTCAAAAAATAATTCTCTTTTATTACCAAAATGAAAGGAAAATTTGTAGTTTAAAAATTTTAAAAAATAAATAGCTGCTGAGAGTTTTACTTTTAAAATTTTCACATTCAATAATGTTTATTTAGTAAGTTTTCCGGCAGCTATTGTTTGATTTTCACTTGGTAGCGATTTTGACGCAGACATTGATGATATCATTTTTTAAAACACTTTTCTTTCATTGAAGTAATTAAGAATTTTATTTTCATTGAAACATTTAAAAAATTAGATCTGATCTGTTGCACGGTTTACAGATATCTAATGCAAAAGTCAAAAACACTTGTTGAACAGCAGTTAGACAGTCATCAAGAGGTCACTGACCAGTTCTTGCATACAAAAAATACATAGTGGTTAAAAGTTTTACTTTTAAAATTTTCACATTGAATGTTTATTTCAGTGTTCTACCAAGCATTTCCAGACGAGTCCTGCCTAACCCTTAATGTGTCCTCTTTGTAAAAATAAACCAATAGAAAATACTGCCTTTTTATTCATATTCTATTTTTTTAAGAATTAATTCATTATTTAAATACATATAATTATTACACACTGGTGAAATTATCTGCGTTTGTAGGTTTAATTCTGATTATTATTACAAATATTTACTTTGTTACAATTATTCTCAATTTTTGACTTTATTTTTGGGAGGGAAGATATATTAATGAATTTTTAAGTGATTTTAAAATAATGTTTTAAATAAATACCAATTATTTAAAAGTTTTCAAGTTGTTTATTAATTTTTCTTTTGTTTACTTTTTTGAAAAACATTTATGCACATTGATTGTCTTTTAGCATGCCTTTAATTTTTCCTTTGCAAACGCAAAAACTAGTGGCTTCTTGATGCTTTGCCTAACTGCTGCTCATCGAGTGTTTTTCTCTTCTATATTAATTGAAATTAATCGGAATAAAGTATTGAAATTTAATTAGTTGAAGGTCAGACTTTTTTGACTAAAAAATATTATAGCAATTTTTTAAACTTAATTTGCTTATTTTGATTTGCTTAAACTTAATTTAAATCCTATTTATTTTCAAATTATGTTCAAATCATTTATAGTCATTTAATTATATATGTATGCTGGAAAATAATTTGATATGAAAAAGGTTTTACGCCTGACATCATTGGCCTTCTCCTTATGGCTTACACATATATTTGCTTATTTTGATAGTGGCTCTTTACCATAAATATGTGTATATATACAAATATATTTTTTTTTGCATGGTTTGGTAGCAAATGCTATGTATGTTTCAACAATGTAGGGTAACTGTAAAAAAGATAATAAGAACTATAAAAAAAATTTAATATTAAATAAAAATATCATTATTTAAAAAAAAAACCTATGTAGGGCCCAGGCTAAGCATTTGCCACCTCTCCAAATGTGCTAAAATTGTAAATTTGGCAAAAGAATTGTGTTTGCCTAAATAGTTATTTTACCGAAAAGGAAAAGATATATTTCCTTGATCCTGAAAAAAGGTCAAAGGGAATTTTTCTGAGAAAATGCTATATTTCTAATATTATTTCAGTCAGATTAACCAATTTGAAATATATTAAGTCTAGATAATGAAGGCAACAAGATAGATTATGTGAACATGAGAGAAACTACCGTGAAAATACAAATTAGCATGTTCCTCGCTGGATCACACGATTATACAATAACATAATGTTGCTTCAGGTTTATCCTTATATTACTGCTCTAGTCTAAGAAGTTATCAAAAATGAGTTATCAAAAATATTTTCCATAGAGGATACAACAATAACTACATTTTTCATCCTCTCACCTATTTATTGCTCATTAAGTCCTCCTCAACTGCAAAATGACTCTTGATTAGAATTTGCATTTCATAAAATGATTCAATGTATAGTAAATTTGTATTTTGATTTGAAGTTTCCTATGAGAAAAAAAAGCAATCAGAAAATCTTATTTTATCACTGGCGTTGAATAGTTGACCCAATTCTGAGTTTAGGACTTCCAATGTACAAGCTTTGTAATTTTTAGCCCAATCCAGAAGACAAGGGAACTCCTGTATTGGGAGAAATTTGCCTTTCTGGAGGACTTTTTGATGGAACTAACTCTCATTTACGTTACAGGGAGAGTAAACCTCCCACTGTCAGCCTAACTGCAAAAGGACTTTAATCCATGATCATTCAACACCTGGGGATATTTTACATCTGCACTGTGGTCGATGTGAGCCGAATGCAGAATTCGAATTGACCGACCATCGCTGAGATTCGAACCGGTGCTGTATCCCCAGAGCCACCCTGGCTCAAAAATTGCTAGGATTTGCCTTTGGCTAAAAATTGTGAAATTTGGGTATTACTTTTGATATTTGGCTAATAAGTCCTTCTCTGCCTATGAAGCAACTCAGTGATAGAAAAGTCTAGTCTGTTTATTTTTATAAAATTTTTCTAACTTGCAAACCTTGTTTGATTGCATATTCACTTTCAATGTATGATAGTATTGTTTTACTCTTACTTATCTTTTTTATTATTTTTAGGTTGCAAATTATGAATGCTGAAGAACAAATGTAGCTGCTATCAATTCATATGCTATTATTGGAATGCTTTGCCAACTAACAGTGTACTAATTACAATTAAAGTATCCAGAGCTGATCATCATATTTCAAAATGGCTGGTAAGTATAAACAAAAGATTCTTTTGCCAGATGGATGGATTGCAAAAGTATCACGAAGCAATCCTGGGAAAATGTATTATGTTAATAAAACTCTTAAGATTTCTTCCTGGACTCTGCCAGAATGGGCTCCTCAAAAAATAATGAAAAATAGCTCAAACTTGCCCTCTAAGTATTCTAAAGTGGAGAAGAGAAGTTCTGACACATTATTTGCTGACCAAAACAAGCCAAATGACCCATCACAAAAAAAGTTTTGCTCCACAGGTTTTAAAAAAGTAAACGATTCTACTTTGGGTTCTGTTCCAAAAAAACAGGGAGCAAATGTTAAGTTTAATATAACTGCTTCTGAAAGAAAGAAAAATTTTCAACAAAAAAAGAAAAATTTTGACTCAAAAATGTCTTTAAATAAGAATTGTGAAGTGACCTGTGGCTCTTTTAAAAATAAAACATTTTGCGTATCTAAATCAAATGCTACCAACAAAGTTAACGTGCAGCATTCTAATAAAACTTCATCTAATCTAAAGTGTACAGTTGACAATCCAATTATATCCAAACCACTTGGTGAAAAATTATTACCGCCAACAAAAAATTTCGGCAATGTAAACAAGCTACTTGGAAATAAAGCTTCAGATAATTTAGTTCACTCAAACTCATTTATAGAGAAAGAGCAAGCTGATAAAGCTCGTATCAAAAAACAATGCCTTATTTCGACACCTCATGCTTTGAATAATGATCGTACGGCATTAGTTGACAATCATTCAACTAGTCTTGTGACTGAAGCTGATGTTACTGGTCATGAGACCGTCGAAGATGTTGAAATGTTGGATTTATCTATGAATTTTCTAATAATTGATAACCTTTTAGTCGATGAATCATCCAGTTTTTATATTGTGCTTGATACAAATGTATTTATTTATGAATTAGCTCAAATTGACGAAATTAAGGATGTGTCTATTAAAAATAATGGTTTCCCTCACATTGTCGTCCCTTGGATTGTAATTCAGGAGCTGGATAAATTGAGAAAAAGGCCCACTGAATCATCTGAAATTCATAGAAAAGCTCACGAAGGTATTAAATATATAAATCGTATGATCAAGGGAAAGCATCCGAGATTTCATGGTCAGTCTCCGAAAGAAATGAAAGAAAGTGCTCAGCCATTTAGCAATTGCAATGATGATCTAATTTTAGAATGTTGTTTAAATCTTGCCCAAAAAATGGCACAGGATAAAGTAATTTTGATAACCAATGATATTAATTTATCCACAAAAGCTATGATAAGTAATATAACAGCTCACAATGTTAAATCATTCATGGATTTCACAAAAGTTGATGAAAAAGATAAATCTGGGAAAAGAGTTTGCCTTGAAAGCGACATACATAAAAATGCCAAAGTCAAACCGTTAACTACTGTGGAAATCTTGCCTATTTCTGAACAAAAATCCTCTGACGAACATCCGCACCTTCAAGAAATTCATACATTAATGACTAAAGCAAGGTTTATGTTAAAAGACGTGTTATGTAAATTGATAAAGATTGAAATGGATGAAGCTTATGGTGATGTGTGGGTAGCATTTAAACTTGATATGACTTCACTTCAAAGCATATTTAAAGCTATAGATAAATATTGGAAATGTGTTTTTTCTTTCCATTTTAATCAAAGAGATTTATGTAATTTTAAATTCTTGCAAGGTGTTTCAGAAAGTGTTGATGGATTTTTGTGTAAAGCAGAAAAATGCCTAGAAATTTTGACTGCTATTGAAAAAATCTTTATTTCTATCAAAAAAGCCTGGTCAGTTCTTGAAGTACCTCTTGAAAATATTCGCAATAGTCATTTAACTTGTGTAGAATTGTTAGCAAAGAAAAATTCAAATGAAAATGGAAGTCCGTCATCTTTATTTTTATATGAAGCAGTATTTAATCTTTTTCAACACAATTGGGCTACTATCAATCATTTATGTGGTATTACTATGGATTTTTGTGATTTGCCTCATGAATTTATCTACGAAAAACCGTCAGTCTTTCCGTCTGAAAAAGAGTTTGAAAATTTAATGTGTAATTTATACCCCTCAGTCAAGTTAATAAAAACTTATATGTCTAAAACTGTTATTAAAAATCCTCATGCTTCAGTACTCGATATTGAATTTTATAGAAAATTTTTTAAGGCATTGTGTAATTTCATCCCATCTTTAAATATCAAAGCACCTCCTTTTGACTCTCAACAATTGAATGTGCTAGCCTTCTATGATTTTTGTCGAGATCCCTCAAAACAAGAAACACTGCTTCTCGGTTACAAACAATTAGAATGTTTTGAAAATAAGCTTGAAGAAGCTTTAAGGACGATGGTATCACTAAAAAAAAACATCGCTTCTGATAAGATGATCTGTGATTGACAAATTTAGTCGTCAGTTTAATAATGAAGGTCTATTTTTATATTTCAATCATTGTATAAAATGTATTTGGTTAAGTTTACTAAATTGTTTAAATTGAATTGTTTACTATGTATAGTAACATTAATATATATGTATCATCCATTTATTAATGATTTATTTTGTATGGTTTAAAATTAAATTTCTATTGAAATTGTGATATTGTATGTTAATGTTGATTTATATGTTTAAGTTTTGTATAATCAAAAGCCCACAATCATTAATCCATTTTAAGCATCTACTTGAGACATTTATTTTATAATTTTGGCCATTTAAAGAACATATGCTACCTCACACTTTTCATTGTAAAGTTAGATTAAGTATATTTAATGTGGAGGTCTTATTTTTTTTTAGAGTTAGCCAATGAGGCCCAGCGAGAATTAACTCAGTAAGGGTTTTTTCAACTTTTATTCTTATTTAAAATAAAGAAAAATCTCTTTATAAAATGTAAAGTATGAATCATTATGAAAATTAAACCAGTCGAGAAGCTATATGGAGCACATAAAAAATGGAACTGTAATAAAATAAAAAAATTCCAGAAATTTTACAAAATTATATATATCCATGGGGTGTGAATGCACATTCTATAGGTAGTACATGATATGTTCATTTGTCTCATTTCAATGAATAAATTATCAATTCATGAATATATTGTTTAATTAAATTAGGAGTTTATTCAGTTGTATTTTTGGAATGTTCAGGAAAAAGTTTAATTTATTTCCTTTATTTCAAAAACAAAGTATGATAGAAAAAAAGATAAAAGTTGATAGTTTTTATATATGTATGAAGAATGTATTCATTGAAAATTTTGCAAATGAACACAATATGGCCTACAAATACCTAGAGTGCACATCTTCATTTCATGAATATATAATTTCACATTGCTTTTAAAACTCATCTTCATTAACTTTAATTATGTATAGTGGATGAAATTAAAAAGTAAACAACCTGAATAACTTTTCATCTAATGATCGGATTTTCATATATTAGGGCTCAATGGTTTGAGTGCCTGACCTGGACTGTATTTTAGATTCAGGGGTCTGTCCAGGCCGAATTTACTACCGTTTGGCGGTACCTTCACAAATTCAACTTTAGGAAAAACGGTAGTTTCACAAATTCAATTTTGGAAAAACGGTAGTTTCACAAAATACTTTTTCTTAAAATTTCATTTTTGTATCCCTTAAGAAACGATAAATCCATATTTTTGTGTTGATTTTTTAATATAATTTTTAATTTTTCACAAATTACGTCTAAATTTTCACAAAATAGGTACCTGTCAGAAAAACCTAGACAGACCCCTGAGATTACAAAATTAGACACAACATATTTTCTCTGAATGAATATACCCATTTTGAAGGAATCAGATTACTGATCCTCAAGACATGGGGGTGGGTTGGTGAATATGTTAGAAAATATGGTCCCAATAGTTTAGTCAGAAGATGTAAAGTTAAAGCTACTTAATGTTAATATCACTTTTTGCTTACTTAGCTTTTTCCCTGCAAGTTTGAAAGTGAATTTATTAATTTTTGCATGCAGCTATGAAATTTGTTTGTCTAATAACTATTTTATATAAAAATCATTTTTCATTGTTTAATTTACTAGTGGTTGAAACAATTTTGAATTGTAAGGTATGCATATTTTTACCCAAATTTAATCTGTGTAATTTTATAGGACAAGATCCAAAATTTGAAGGAAAAGGTTAAATACTTCTTGAGGAATAAGAATTTTAAAATAATGCTTCTTTGAGATGGCAAAAAAATTGCATTAAATTTTGAAATTAGTATTAAAAAGGGTCTAAGTTTTCAACTGCCCTCTTTCCTGAACTATTTCGACCATTTTTTCTAAATTGTAGCTCTCTCCCATATTTTGATGGTCAAAAACCCACATACATAAAAAAAAGTGTTGGTTCAGGAAAAGTACAATTTTGTTTCTGATTTTGAAAGTTAAAATGTCATCAATAATAAATAATTAATATATTTAAGGTCAAGCTCTCAAACTGTTAAGATTGTGCCCTAGTATATAAAAATCCCAAACATTAGTTCAAAAGTAATTCACGATGTTAACTTTTTGTTTTGAACATTGTAAATATTTATATAATATTTTATTGAGTATGATTTAGATGGAGGGAATGTATTGATAGTAAATCTTTACTGAAAAATGGAGGTTTATTCATCAATTTTTGCTTGTTCTTTTAATGACCAAAATTACAGATCTTTTTTTATTATTGCTGTTTTCTTATGTTGAAGTTCAGTTTATGTTAGGTGTTAGAAATGTGTTAAAATTAGCTTTCAAGTTTTGCACCACCTTACAATAGATAGCTGTAAAGTTATTTATAAAACAAAAAGGGCCTAAATGTTCAAAAATGTTTTTTAACTTGAAGAAAAGAACATAAGTCTTTTTTAGAAAGCAATTCTTTAAATAGATTTTCAAAATGATTTTCAATTTTAAACTTTAGTGAAACAAAATATTATAATGTTGAAGACATAATGTGTGCTTACGATTTATAACACAATTATTTTTGAATTTTTGTTTACTATTTATCAAAACATAGAAATAAAATAAATGCTTAAAATTTAAAGCTGTTTGGTAATTTATAACACAATTATTTTAAAATTTTTGCTGAATATTTTTTTTTTTAATTTATGAACTTTGTTTACCATTTATTAAAATGTAGATAAAATGAATGCTTAAAATTTATTGCGGTTTAGTAATTTATAATAAAGTTGTCTTAATGTGCCTTATTTTATTCATAAATGTTACTTTTAATTGAGAAGAAAAGAAAATTTCTGAAAACAGTTCTTTAAAAAGTAGATTTTTGAAACCATTTTCACTTTTAAACTTTAGTAGAATAAAATATTTAAATACTACTACTTCTGACAAAATATCTACTTATGATTCATAAGAAAATCATTTTTAATTTTTGTTTAAGATAATTCTTATTGAAACACAGAGTAATATAAATAAGAAAATAAAGAAATAAATACTTAAAATTTATTGCTGCTGATTAAATTATAACGCAATTGTTTTAATATGCCTTATTTTTTTCTTCAAAAAATGTGAAAATTAATAAAAAAGAGATGAGAAAATTAGTAAAAGAGATTAAATGAGAAAATTAATAAAAATTTATAGAATATTTTATTTGAAGATAATTTTTAAAAAAAATAAATAAACAATATTTTATATTAAAGAATTTTCAAATTAGTTTCAAATTTTAACTTTAATTTAATTAATTATTGCATATTGAAACAATGTTTGAAGTAAAGTAGATTCTGTGTGTTGCTGTAAAGAAATTTATTACGCGTATAATGTCTTTATATGTTTTTATTTTTTCTGTGCAACCTTGTTTGAGATGCAATATATATTGCTGTAGAAATTTATATTGCGTAAAAAAATTTATAAGTTTTATTTTATTACAAAAAAACTTTGATACATTGAGAAAAAGAACAAAACAAAAAAAATTTGAAAGAAAAAACAATCAATATTTAAAATGGTGACTTTGTTAAAATCATTTTCTGATTTCTATTTTTAAACTTTTTTTGTTAAATAAAATAATGCATACTAAGATACTGATTTAATAATAAGTTGTTCTACAGCTGTAGGTTTTAGGTAAAGCAAAATTTGAAAGTTCAGTTTAACATCTTTTTTAAGCAGCTTTTTCATGTCAGCACACAACAGCCTTAATTGTAAAATTTTAAAAAGTATCTTTCAGCTTTTAATCTATACAGTGATTTTCAAAGAATGTGGACTTCATTGTTCTGTTTATGACAAAAACTTCTTTGCTTAATTTAAAAATGTTTCTATTAATATTATATTTACAAATATTAATCAAAGGTTATGGAAAAGTGTCATTCATACCTATATAAACTGAGCCTGACAATGTGCAAAACAAGTCATATATAAACTTGTTTTGTAACTACAGCAACTTTTTTTAGTTACTTTTTTAAAATTCCGGATTGATACTAATGGTAAATAATAACTTTGTTCTTAGTCTAAAAATAGGCTAATAGTCTTGCCAAATAAATGTGCAAGTGAAGCAACCAATTTAAAAAATAATAATAAAATGTTTTTGTCTAAATATTATAATGAATGTGCACATTTTTAGAATTTATAATACATTTTGCTGTAAGATTACATTTTGGGGGATTGGTCATTTTATTAATACTAGAATTCCCTGAAAGAAACACTAACTAGTTTCAACTTATAAATTATTACATCAATTTTAGTTTAATGTTCACCCAATTGCTTTTTATGTTGTAAATAAGTCACACATGTTATTAATAAGTCAGTACAGTTTTTTTTATATTGTAAAGGTTTTATTAATCTTATATATTCTTAATTTTAAACTAATTATTCTATTGAAATATAGTATGAAAACTAATTCACAAAGAGAAATCTCTTACAAATGGAAATAATTTGTTGGTATTTCTTTAATTTGATTGTGATAACTATTGTGCTATTTAGATTCACAAAAACATTTTATTTTCTGGATTATATTTCTATTTTTATCTTCATGTACTTTTTATCTTTTTTGTTAGTTCATTTGTACTTTCATCCTTATTCTTATATATCTACTTGAAATATAACTTTCTTTGCAAACACATTAGTAAAAAATCTTTTTAATGTAGCTATTATTTTACTGATTTCCCTTTAAAAAATATTGTCTTAAAAGCTTTTATAACAATGAGCTGCTAAATATCTGTCTGTTACAGAGCGCTAACATCACTTTTTTTTTAGCAGATTCTGATACATATTTGTCTTAGAACTTTCTTTTTACTTAAGTGGAATTAAATTTTATTCTATTTATTCTGATTTCTACAATCATTATTTTTGAGTGTCTTTTCAAAAGAATTTTTGAATATTAAATTATGCTTACATCCAATTCAGATGTTATTTCTTTTCTGATCTTAAAAAGTTTTTGTTGAATTCAACCTTTTACTCTTCTTAAATAGAATTCTGAACATCTTTTTGGTAGTTTTGTTCTGTTTCAATTATGTTTTTTTTATTATTAATATTAATCGGATGTTTTGTGAATACAATTAAAAAGATTTGTTTAAATTTAAATAATTATTTCTGTTTGTAGCATTTTCTAAATTTTAATCCAATTTGAAATAGCTATATTTCATGGTACTGAAATCATTTTAATTTTGGGAGCTTGAAGTAAATATTTCCCTTGTTTAATTTTTGAGCAAAAAGCCTTCTTTTCTACATTTGATAAGTTTATTTAATTATTTTTCCTTGCTTAAATGTGATGTTAAATATTCAAATCACATTTAATTCTAAGCTTCTATGTTCAAGTTTTTTTTTTTTTTCATTAACTAAAAAAATTTCAGGAGAAATATGTTAGTTAACACTTTTAGAATTCTAGATTATTTTAGCTCAAATTTACCAATATAGTCTAATATTCTTCCGAACATTTGAAATTTCTAGATTTAAAAGGCAGACATCTTATGATCAGCTGTAGGCATAAAATATTTACTTATTTTTCCAAGCATTCAAATGAGCGAATGCTTTGTGAATCTAATTCGCTGTTTTATGCATTGTAAAACTGACTATCACTAATTACGTCCTCCATAGTCGTTGCCTGTAAAATATTATAGGTAATGTCTGTTTATCTGGAATGGGTATGAATATTTTAGTGACGGCTATTTTTCTATTTAAATTAAGAAACAAACTTTGTTTTTAAATACTGCTGTTCTTTTATATCAACCCTAAACCTTCTATCTCTTTGTCTATCAAATGAAAAATTACTTTTAAAGCATCCTACATTTTAGAGACTTGACCATTTAAATTATCATTATTATTTATTTAACTTCTCTTTTAATCTTCCTATTTTCCATGCTTTCTTACAGAACTGTATCTGGTATTTATAAATTGCTTCCTATTATAATTTTTTTAGCCATCTTCACTGTTTATCTCTTCTTTTTTTTCTCTTAATAACATAGAGTAATGTGTTAAAAAAATAATCTTTTCTTTGAATGGGTATTCTATTAATTTCGGGAAATAATAATTACTATTTTTTCATTACTTGTA